GGTAAGGTGACAGTGATTGGTTGGTAAGGTGTCAGTGAGAGGTTGGTAAACTGTGAGTAAGTGATTGGTACAGTCAATGGGCGTAAGTATTTGTCACTTTTGCAAAATTATCATTTGATAGTGACTATACCTTGGCTTTTTAGTTCCTGTAGCTCTGTTATAACTTCAGAATCCCTCAGTCTGTTGTTCTTTGTACACAGGCTTACGTGAACATGTTTCTGCTTACTAAAAAAAATAAAAAGCATACATCACTCTACTCACATGTTATGCTTTTGTCTCCAACTTTAGTTGCTTTTTTATTCACTTTCAGACATTTTGACTCAGTATATGTGTTTGTGAATGTGTTAATACACAACTAGTTTGCATTACGAGTGATCCAGTTATTCAACAATATATCATCCAAAAAATTACCAACATCTAACCAACTTCCTACTGCAAATTAAACACATGTCTTAGTATCCCATCGATTCCCTAAAACACACTACATGTAGATACGCCAAATTGTTTTACCTGTCTTCTGCTGTTCTTTTCTTAGATATAACACCCCAGACTGGGTTCTCAAAGGTCGCATCAAGTAACAAACATACAAGGTTGCCAAGCATTAGCCACTTGCTATTACTGTCAAATAACAATGAAATTATTAAAAACACTTGTACAATTTGTGTAGAGGGATTACAATGGATTTCATATAAGTTTGTTCCAGAGTTCTGAAATTTGCCAATGAACTTCTTACATTTGTTGCAATGTTTGAACCAAATTCCTGAAGTTCAAAATAAAGTTCGTAACGTTCGTTTCAAGGTAGGGATCAAATAAACTGCCATTTTCATAAACATGCGAAATCTTTATAGACTGATCTGATTGATCAATTTGTTTTTCACTGCCGCCAGTCAAAAACATGAAAGGTACGAAATGATTGGTTTTGAAGCCCACTATCCCTGGGATGTATCTATATATTGCCCTAGAATACTAATATATATATGCTGCCCTTGAATGAGTAATGGTCAGAAGTTAAACTTTGAAAATTTCTGCTACAAACTTTTTTATTAAAAAAAAATCTTTTGATATAAATGAACTTAGAACTTAGCTGGAATTGAACCTTTGGCTAACTTACACCACACTTTGTAAACAATGTACACTGCTGTCTATTTGATAGAATTAGTTGAACAAAAGCATTTTAACTCTTATGATGAAGCTCATTAACCTTGCAGCAAACAGAAATTGAAATGCATTTTGTTTAGCATTCCCCCATATCATGGGAATTAAGAACAATAATCTGATTATGATGAGATCATTTGGGACTATTTTTGTGCAAAAACCTTATCAAATTCGAACTAAATTTGTTAAATACTACAAACATTGGCATTAAGACTAGCCAAGAGCCTTTGGGATGTATGTGGCTTTAAATGCCTCTGTTCTCAGTATTTAACTCTTACAGTACTTACTCTTGGTCAGCATCTAGGTCACTCTTATCAGTTTCATTATTGTGGTGACATTCTAACACAAGGGACAAGCCTTCATGTATCGGCAGCTCATTGCGATCAGATATTTCAATAAGTTTGACGCTAAAAGAAAATAAAGAGCAATTATATATCAATTATGTCACATGTTGGAGTCCCTGTGTCATAAAAGTCAGTTGCACACATGCGTAACACATACATGTTAAAGATGGTGTCCTGTCTTGCCTAGTTATACAACATGGTGTCACAAGTAGATTAAAATATTAATTATCAAAGTTTTAATTTATCATTAAGTCAGAAAAAATCCTTCCATGATTTTGATTCGTTTACAAATTGAGTGTTGGGGAAACTTATTAATTGAGTGCTTGGGAAACTTATAGATTGAAAATTATATAGCACACTCCTAATAAACAAGAACAGTGCCTCATGGCCAGATTCACGTCCTGTCAACTGACTGTCGGCTGTTTGATGGTAGTTTGTTGGGCATTTGTAGGCCGTTTATCAGTAATTTTTTTCAGCCATTAGTCATGCATTCAATGACACTCAAACAGTCAGTGGACAATGGCACTGGCTATAGGATGCATAACTGTAAACTGTGGTATTTCAGTGTATGCACATTGAATAGCTCTTCTTACCAGTAAAGCATATTGTCTTTAGGATCACACTTTCTTTTGACCAAGAATGAATGGATTCCTTTCTTCACTTTGTGAAAGCACTCTACTCGAAGTAGAGCGTAATATGTCTCAATGTATTCTTCTTCTGATTTGTATGCAATTTCATTCTTCTTTTTGTTAACCTTTTTCTGTTTTTTCTCTTCATCTTCGTCTTCATCCTTCTTTACTCTCACAGGTTGGAGGCCTCTAAAATCAAAGTCTAATAAGAAATATTAATTTGTTAAGGTTAAATGTAGAGTAACATAGCCCTGCACAGCCCTGTCAAAAGTAGACATACATACAGACAGACAGACAGAAAACTTTATTTATACATAGTAAAAACATCAATTAGTATACATCCTAAATTCAAATAAGTTAGAATTAAAGCTGCCATTTGCATGTTTTCCATATGATTGTATAGACTAGAAAAGGTATTCATTGACTTTTATAATGATAATAATACTCTTCCTTAATTGGAAGGAAAGTTTGTCTTATAATACAGGTAAACGTGATAAGAAATTTTTTCAGGCCATCATAACTAATTTCAGAGTCACAGTACGAAATGAATGACCCTTAATTATTATACATGATATTTGAAGACTTCAGACAAGTTCAATCAATGAAGCTTACAATGAGGAACAAGATAAAGTTCAATGACCAACAAGATAAAACTCCAGTAAATAATCTTAAGCACAAATACTTGAAAAGTTAACAGTTTTTTGAAATTAGAAGGATTTGTATGAGAAAGAGAACTTTGGCCTTTGCCAGTCTCATTTTCATGTTCTGGACTGATTTCAATTGCTCATAACTCTACAGATATTTGCCTGCATATTATGTTGAAACTGTAGACTTTTACTAATTCCCTTGATGTCAGGATATTCAGTTGATAACATAACAATTTCCTAAATTATTGAGTAAGCATTTGATTTATGCCATTTTACATAGGGTCTATTATAAAACAGAAGGATGTAAATTATTGCTAACCTGGGTCATGTTCCAGTTCTGTGGGAAGTGGAATAACTGATTTTTGATTCCATTTTAGATGCTTTGGTTTCTCACTAACTCCAGTCACGAAAGGCGCAATCATAGAAAACAGTTTTCGATTGAACTCAACTCTACTTTCGACTGGAATGCAAGTCAGACTTTTTAGGATACCAATAGCTCTAACTGCACATTCTGGATGAGCTTTAAAGAGGTTTTCAAGGACATTTTCCACAAGATTTATATTATCAGCTGTCTGCCAAGCTTCATCCTTGATGATTTCTGGTAAAGCTTTGTTAAAGAACCTGCTATCTTCCAAGGCATCCCAAAACCTTATCATTATAGTGGTCATCTGTGTCTGTGCCTGAAAACCACCAAAGATTTTACATATTTCAAGTATGTTCTTGGATACTTCTCCATCTGGCTCCTTGTCGTTTTCTTCCTTCATAATAGATACATTTATTATGTGTTGCCAAACAGCAAGTGATCTGAAGAAAAAAGAATAAAACCTCTATTAACTGGGCTTTAAATGAGTACTGATAATGTGTCTATCTATTTGAAATACTTGCACATATAAGGTGGTTATAAAACTGTCTGGTGATTATTAGTTTGGTAGTGCTTGGGATGAAAACCAGGATAACAGCTGGCAACATAAAAAATCAAAGTTTTGGAGGAATTAAAATTACATTTTTTTATGACAATGAAGCTAAGAATGACATCTTTCTATTGCCTTAGAAAAGATCCACCACCACCACCACCTTCCCTGCAGATAATATATAAATGAATGGTCCTCGCAGCCTGTTACATGTTTATACAACCTATCAGTCTCCAGATGTCTGGCATTTTGCCTTCAGTCAATCTAATTTATGACAAGTTGCTTGATTGCATTCCTAGTCATTCCAATCGAAAGAGATAAATAATCCAGCAACTCAACACCCATTTTCCCATGCATGTGGGAAATAGGCTTCTGAGTCATGGGAATTATATATGAATTAGGATTAGAATGCACTTAGCTTATTGCAAATTTGATTAACAGAAGCCAAAACTCCACGCGTCTGTTAAGTCTTATGTTGCAGAAACATGAAATGGGTTGTATATGATTGCTACTAGTAAATAAGTGTAATCACATTTGACATTAGATGTAACACAGGTAGCCCAATTCAAGTAATAACTGTAAATACCTTTCAAAGTTTCCAAGTATTCCAAAAGGGTTGTCTTTGAGTTGTTTTACATTCTCGACAAAATTTTCCACCACAACTTCAGATATACCATGAGAGCTAAAAAATTTTTTTCAATTGCATGGAATTAGCATCAAATTTCATCTATGAACATGCAGTTTTCTTAATAGTTGATTTTTTTGTAAATACTCTATAGTGCAAGTTGCTGTGATGTAAGCTATTTTGTCATTCTGTATTAGAGATGGATTTGATGGTCCCTAAAGAATGAATCTTAATTTTTAACCTATATAATATATTATACAATCATTATTTAAATACCTATTAGATAGTGTGGAAAAAAATAATGCTCACCATGATGATTCTGGATTCTTTGGTTTCTCACTAACTCCAGTCACGAAAGGCGCAATCATAGAAAACAGTTTTCGATTGAACTCAACTCTACTTTCGACTGGAATGCAAGTCAGACTTTTTAGGATACCAATAGCTCTAACTGCACATTCTGGATGAGCTTTAAAGAGGTTTTCAAGGACATTTTCCACAAGATTTATATTATTTCTCTGCCAAGCTTCATCCTTGATGATTTCTGGTAAAGCTTTGTTAAAGAACCTGCTATCTTCCAAGGCATCCCAAAACCTTATCATTATAGTGGTCATCTGTGTCTGTGCCTGAAAACCACCAAAGATTTTACATATTTCAAGTATGTTCTTGGATACTTCTCCATCTGGCTCCTTGTCGTTTTCTTCCTTCATAATAGATACATTTATTATGTGTTGCCAAACAGCAAGAGATCTGAAGAATCAAAATTTTGCATAATATTATGAAGGAATTAGTCAAAAAAAAAATCTAAACAAAGAGAAAAGAGGGAGGTTTTTCCTTTCTATTGCCTTAGAAAATTCACTACCATCTACCCTCCCAGAAAGAAATGAATGGTCCCTTACCGCCATTTGCATTGCTATGCGGCCACCCCAGACAAAAATCGCGATGAGCACTTTGCAATAGACTGCTGTCAATCAAACAAGTTGACGTCATTTACACGCATTTGGATTGGCCCGGATAGGCCCGGTGAGTGTGGCTCATAATACTCGTAAACAATCGACAAGTTTTGGCGCCTTTTGAATCACACACGTGTGTAAATGGCATCAACGTGTTTGATTGACAGCAGTGTATTGCAAAGTGCATGTCGCGATTTTTGTCTGGGGTGGCCGCGTAGCAAAATGCAAACGCCAGTAAGTGCTACCAGTATGTAAATAAGTAGTTTACAATGCACATATGGGGGATTAATTTAATTTCCCAAAAACATTAAATATAACATAGGTAGTCCAATTCTAGTAATAACTGTAAATACCTTTCAAATTTTTCGAGTATTCCCAATGGATTGTCGGTGGGTAATAATTGTCTTACATTCTTGAAAAAAATGTCCACCTCATCTTTAGACATATCATAACAGCTAGAGATAAAGAAAAGTTTTTTTATTGGAATCATATTAATCATAAAAAATAGAAAACGTGCACACTTGCTGTGCGCAGTTATGAAGCATTCAAGGGTTGACAGAACAGAAATATTAGGAGAATATAAAAGCATGACACATAGCTGATTGCCTCTCAATACTTCTCAAGTGTTCTGCCAATCCCCAAGTGCTTTATAATATGCAACTTCATAGAGCACAGCAAGCAACTTTTTTATTTCATTCATAACATATAAATTAGAGAAGCCATAATTTTAGACACCAATGACAAAAAGTGCATGCACATAGGCCTATTCTGAAATAGCAAACATGGTGCATTGTGGTCTATCTTTAATTAATTTTGTAGAACATCTTTTGTTCATCATTATACAAATCTACCAGTTTTGTCTGTAATCACAGAGTGGGACAATCATGAACGGAACCACAGATCCAATTGCTAGGTGAAAGCCCAAGATCGAATTCGAATTGGAATAACATATATAAGGCTTGTCAGAGTGGACGTAATTGATTACTAATCACCCGGTCATGCTATTAGTTTGTAATATTATGATTACCGTACCCTGTGTGCCACATGGCCTCTGGCACCCAGGGTATGATTACCGAGGAAGGTAAACCAAATTAAGTAAAGTTGACTTTGGTAAACCAAGATCGGAATGAATTACAGTCCTTTTTTTTGAAGAGCCTTGATTAATGCAATTTGTTACCAGAATACAATGAGCAATTTCAAATCAGAAATGCCAATGTCTTATTATGTCACATTAATCATAAGAAAGAGTCACAATGTGATGAATGGAATGTGATGGAAGAACAGTCTAGTCGTCCCTCGTGTTTAAATTCATGAGGGATATTTAGACTAAATGTCCCTCCTCACTATTCATCCAGAGGGATGTTAGTGATTAAACGTCCCTCTGGAGACAATGGATCCTGAGGTAATCATGATATTATATTTCATTATACAGTACCTATCTCAAATCGAAAGAGTCTTACCATTTTAATTCTGGATCCAAATCACTTGTCTTGCTTTGAGTCAACTTGGGGTTGACAACACTTATAACATCCCCAGTTCTGACTTTAATTCCAAGACCTACAAACTCTCGATTAACTTTGACCAATAATTCCTCTGATCCATCCAAAGTGATTAAAGACACGTAGCTGGGAGATGTCCTGAGAACTACACCCTCAATTCTTGCTTTGTGAACGAAGTCATCCTCCTCATTTCTCTCAGAATCTTGGATAATCTTATATGCATCTTCAAGTWTGTTGTCTACCAGTAAAGTAGATCTGCCATCAAGGAAGGTTTGGAAATCTTTAGCGAAGACGTCGAMATTTTTAGATTTTTCACTGGCATTAGGTTGAGCTGAAAATTCCTTTAGATATTGAAGCCTTAGTTTTAATTCTGGAGAAGATTTTACGAGTTTAAGTGGCTGATTTTGATATTCTTCTTTGACAGAAGAAGCAAGTTTAAATTTTACATTTTCAATGAGTGGTTTGAGCTCGTTAGCGAGAGGAGTTTCATGAAGAATGCTACGGCAAGCTTTGAATTCCCTAAGGATCGCCTTGATCGCCTGGAGCTCCATACTTATAGCTAAATGTTAGGTTTTCGCGTCAGGAAAACTAACCTCAACCCAAAATTTTCTGGATGCGAAGCCCTCGTCAAATCAAGCGCTTATAATTTTGCCGAAATTGGAGGTAGAGATCAAGACATTGTCCAGCCTTATTTTTATTCCTTGAAGATAAGCCAAAAACAAATTCATGGTATTTTTAACACGATACTACGCTTTTTTATGTTAAAGTTAATTTAAAATGTTAATTTAACGTCATATTATGTAAGTTTTTTATGATTATAAAAGCCATCCTTACCCCTACCCTCAAGGGTTTTTCTTTTGACTCTTCCAAGAATTTCGGCAAAATTACGTTCTTTTTCCAGGAATGATTGCTCCAAGAATAGCAAGTTGCCACAAGTGGACGAGGCCGGAAGCCTTTGCAAAACTGAATGAAATTTTATAAAACATTGTAGCTCAAAGGAACACCGATTTTGGACTTTGATTCAAGATCCTTCAAGTCATCGGTTTGTAGCCGCCAAATTTTGAAGATCGTTTAGCAGGTCAGATGCGAGGGACTTGGAACGACTTGGGAATCTATTGGAATTTCAGGAATGGACTGCACTGGAGGACTGAAAGTGGGTTTGTATAGACAGTTTTATATCCGTTTTTGACCCTTTTGATTTAGTTCAAAAGAAATTTGCATCGATGCTTCTTTATATTCCTAAAAACAAAAATTTAAGTTTTTTTGACTATGCCGCAAGTCTTGCAGTTCTGTTTTCTTTTGTAGTTAAGAAGAATTATTGTCAAACAAGGCTGTATTGCTGTTAAAGCAAGGATGCTTCGACTATTTTGCTTTTTGTGCGCGTTAATTTTTGTTTTAGGAACGTGCTTTAAATTAGTCTCCCCCACAGCCGCTTTCAGTGTCTTCACGCAACGTTTTCTCCCCTGCTGTGGGGGAGACTAGCTTTAAATTAGAATGTTGAGAAACTTACGATCGAGTCAATATTGTTTTGTGTGGGGTGAGGAATTCTTATTCTTGCCGAGTTAGGTTTCCTTTACTTTGAGGACTAAAATAGTTTATAATGAATCTAATGTAAATTTTTAGTGATTATGAAAAGCCATCCTTAACCTATACCCCAAGGTTGTCGTTGTTGTTGTTGTTGTTTTTTTTTGGCCAAGAATTTCGCCTCAGTGATTTCTCTTTCCAGTAATTGATGCTCCAAAAACAGCAAGTTGCTACAAGTGGACGAGGCCGGAAGCCTTTGCAAAACCGAAACATTGTCTTACAAGGCATATCCGCTATGATAAACGAAGAAAAGTGGGGATTTTATGTCAAACTGGAAATCCTGTTAGTTAGGCAATTGCCGCCAAACAATGATTCAACTTGAATCATTCTCGTTCCCAGACCCCATTAGGTCTGATCTTCAAGACTTCAAGACTGGACTGGACTGGACTGGACTGGACTCTGGATAGGTGTAACGGAGTTGGAAACAAAACGTATTATAATTATGATAGAATGATACTTGGGGAATCACTTGACAATTAAAAAAACGATAAATAAATTATAAATAAATAAAAGGGGGGAAACAAAAGAAAAAAATGATACTAGTCAGTGCAAAAAATAACCCAAACTTTAATTTATTTCCGTAATGCATCACAAATTAATCACACTATTAATCTATTTCTTTATTTTAGGGTTAAAAACTCCATGTGAATGGCTTGGATTGTTTCAGTCCTTTCTCTCAACACCGATGGATCAAAGATTGACATCCATTGCATCTAAGAATTTATGGTCAATAAGCTTTGGAACCAGAATATGCCTAAAACAAAACAAAACAACAAAAGAAAACCTCGTTTTAGCCATTGTTGAAAAAAGTAGATATATTTATTGAAAGAATCTCTAAAACGTTATGCCCCAAAAAACGTGTTCAAACTGATATACTTAACAGTTACTAGGAATAATCAATTTTTAGATGTGGAAGGGTCGGTGGAATCTACATTCGATTCTATCAACGACCCTCTTTCCCTGCTAAGCAATGGCGAGCCCAGCCATCGTTTGTCAGTCTTCTTAGGTGACAGAATTTTGTATTTGATGAAAACAGATATAAATGAACTTCCCTTTTTGGTTCTGTAAAATGTTGATGAACATCCCGTAGATTCCTCCAGGCTTCCTCCACCCCCTCCCCCCTTTTCTTAAGATGAATGTAGTACATACCTTACTGGTAAAAGTAAAATAAGAAGTACAGGGAAAAACATTTTAGTGTAAGCAGACCCTAAAAACCCAAATCCACAAACGATGGCGAGCTGTAGGAACTGTATACCAGTGTAGATGTGGATCTTTCGTTGCGGCACTCGACGGATGTAGTGATTGGGAGGATATGCTGACTATTGAGATAGATAGGAATTAGATGGTTTTTAGTATTTGTTTTATTAGGCTGTCTGAATCTTTCAAGCACTAAAAATTAATACTTTAATGAATGATTAGCCTCCATTGCAGACGTCCTGCGGGGTTCGGTTCGGATCCGAACCAAACACCACAGGACGTCTGCAACGGAGGCTAATAAATGATGGGACGAATTAACAAATGGGAAAATGGATGGATCAGGTTTTGGGTAAAAGGATGCATGCAATTGGGATGGATGAATACACAAATGAATGGAATGATGGATTGAAAGATGGAAGGTTGAAGTGTTGGTTGACGAAAAGAAGGTAAGAAGGTTGGATGGATGGAGAGAGGGGGAAGAAAGAATGGATGGAGGGATGAAAACATGGATGGATGAATAAATGGATAGGGGATAGATAAAAGTGTGAATTCAATGAAGGGGTAAACTACTTGTAAAATGGATGAATAATTAGCATTATCATGCATAAAGAAGAAAGATACTTGTACTAAATCATTACCTGTTCAGTAACTAGCAATAAAAATCTCTCAAACATTTGGTTATTAGACAATGGAGTGATAGCGACAAACAGGAATAGACCATCCAGTACAGCAGTGGGAATGTATTTCAGTGGGATGGGTATCATAAGCAATGAAAGACCAATCATGATATGAGATATCAATATCGATAAACGATTCTCACGAACTTTGATGATTCTAAAGAATAAGAATAATGACAAAAATAACATTCAGTATTTCGTATTACACTAAAAACAGGTTACCCTAAAGCGTAGGGGGCTAAAGAAAGGTAAGACTGCTGGATTTTGACGAACGACTCATAAGCGTTTAAAAAAGTTAATACTAAATGTCAGAAAGTGCCTTACAGAAACAGATAATAAAACTAAATGTCATGATAAATAAATAAAATTCTGGTCTGAAGTCATGGTGGTTGCATACTCACGTGTCGAAAACATGACCTTGGTCAACCCTCTCCTCGACATCAGCCAACGCCCTGACGTGCAGGGGTGAGTGAGGTAAAGCAGCGTGTACCCATGGCAACCCAAATAAGGACAGCACACCATTGAGTATTGCTACCACAAGGAGGTCCAGATGATGGGCACTCCCTTTCTTAAGCCTGAAAAATATGTTAAATATATTATACCTGTGTGGATACCAAACTTTAGATGTTCCAATTCATTAGTTGCTTCTCACCCACCCCACAACCAATGACCCTAATTCCAACACCACACCATTCTCACAACCTACAACCCCCCGACACCACCTGCTCAACTTCTACACAACTCCATCATGATCACTAAACCACTTCACAACCCCCCCCTGACTACGGCACCACACCACATCACCCTAAACCCATCACACTTGCTGTCTTATTTTTTATTGAACCCTGAACCAAACTCTGGGCTGGAAGGGCACAACTAACTCACAAATCAGATTGCAATTTAGCTTGTTCTGTTTGGCGAAGAGAAAATACTCCCTCTCTCTACTCCAACAAAAATAATGAGTGGAGGGGGAGTAAGATATAAGATAAGATTTACACTCGTTGATTAATTCACCTGTTACTTGGGTTATTTACGATGGCACTACCAATGTTCTGTTCAACAAAGAACAACAGCGACAGGCAGAAACCCAGCCCACAAGCACCAAATATTGCTCCAACAGACAGACTAGAGAATGCTGGAATCATGAATTTGATGGGTGTATCATAGTCCAATTTATGCACTGAAATGGAAAGAATATACATCTTTATAGTTAATTGCACATGTGATGACAAAGGTATTGATGGATACGGCATTCAAAAAATACCATCCATCAATCTCGTGAATGTTTCCACACAATTACTAGTAATTTCAAAGTAATAGAAAGTCTCTAAACGCATTTCTTTAACAGCAAACTTGAAACGTAAGTGAGTTGACAAGCACAAATAGTGAAAAAGAATCGAAAAGGCGAATACTTGATTTTGGTCGGAAGGTTTACAAGGGGTAAAATAAAATCCAGGAAAACGATGAAAGCGTACAACGACCATCTTGTTAATTATACAACCTGCTCAACTATCATCAGTTTGACACTTAATGACTTTGATCGACACGACCCCAATCTTGACAATGCGACCACCTTGTTATTACGAGAACCTCGTTAATAGACCCTTTCTAAGATAGCGATTATGGTGTATTGTGGTTTACTTCGGTACGAACATCTTTTGTTCATCATGCTTTATATCGTAGCGAACCTAGACCACAATGCAACATATTTATTGAACTCATAAAAGGCCTATGCGACCACATATTCAGCACAGATTCTTACTTACTTGTGATGTCTTTAAAGACGAATGATCCAACAAACGAGAAAAATACCACTGACATTGGAAGTGCGTAGTCTGCAAGAGCTTCTCTCTTGTTGGCATCAAGTAAAGGACTTTGAATAGAAGACAAAACGATGGTATAAAATCTGAACTCGAACTCAAGAAACTTGTGTTAAAATAGAAATGGTGCTAAGTCTTGTGCTTGTAGAGAGAATCCGGGGGGTGAGTGGGAGATAAATGTTGTTCTATAATCCTCAAGTGCTTCTACTTTGCTCAACAATAAAAATTGCCTGCGCGCAATAGAGGCAACATTCGCTACGTCTGCCCCTTGCAACGCAACAATATTGCACAGCATGTTTAACCTGATTACTGTATTTATGTAGCCTAGCCGCGACCTCGTGTCCGTTCGTTTGCCCCTCATAGTGCTTGCCTTTTCCCATTATTTTTATTCTATTAATCTTTAGTTTTACCTATTGATTACTTTTTTTTTTTTACTTTTCGTTTTCTTTATCCCTACTTTAATAATTGTAATGACACGGTGATGGACGTTTCTAAATAAAAAAAAATTAAATGGCCCTTTTCTCCATCACCTACCTTTTCTTAAAGTTGTAAAGAGTAACGCCCATCAATACACAACCACAGCTGAGGAGTATATACAGGGTTCCGCCCTCTCTAGAACATATACACTGTTCATTGCCAAACGCTCTGCATGTGCTGGAGTCTGTGGTTATGTTGGACTGTTGACACAGGCTACAGGAACTGTAGGGCACACCAACACAGTTAGGCTTGTTGTATTCTGTGATGCGTAAAAAGAAAAATATGCAAAGTCTTTACTTGTTGGCATCAAGTAAAGGACTATGAATAGAAGACAAAATGATGGTATAATATCTGAACTCGGACTCAAGTAATGGACCTATCCCGAATTCGCTTGACTGACCACGAAACAATGGYTTGAAGTCGRGACTGAACTTGATACTTTTATTCATCAAGTTCAACCTCGACTTGAAATAGCATTGTTTCGTGACCAGTCAAGCGAATTCGGGATAGGTCTATTTGTGTTTAAATGGAAATGGTGCAAAGTCTTGTGCTTCTTTGTAGGTAGTAATATGGTAGTAATCCATAGGGAGTAATCCATACTAAGAGTCAGCCACCCCCCGGAACGTGTTACGTCATCGCGGTATGTTGGTGGTGTTTAACAAAAGTTAATAATACGCGAGCAAGGATTGGTCGACAAGTTACGCAGCCGAGCTGACGAATAGGATTGACCTTACTATCATCATATTCGTAATGGCACACAATACGACTGACAAACAAATTAGTATTATAGCCTACCTTTATAAATACTCTCTATTGACGCAACTACGAACGCAACTGATATAAACAAGGCGAATATCTCATTGATCGACCTGAATATAGAAAGATAGCATCAATAACAATCAATCGGATGGAACTCTTGCCGGGTCATAGTTAGTGGTCAGGTCTATCAATTGTACTCATGCCAATGCATCCATTGCCTCTGATCTCTCACCCCTCCAATGTTTTCTTGGACGCTAGATTTTTTTAAAAAAGACCGTCTTAAAATGTCCGCCGTCAGCACCGTTGAATTGACACCGAGCTTTCTCCAGTAATTTAGCGAGTGTGGATTGGGAGAAGGGTCCAATGTCAATAGAAGTAGATCTATTAATGTCGCATCTTCAACCTTCAAATTTTATCGATAAATAAATCTTATAAAATCTTTGTATTTCCGAATTGCATTGCCGAATCTCTATGACCCCAAAAACCTCTGGGATGATCAAAACCAGGGCACGGCTAACGCATTTAGCGTGTTAGGAGAAATAACCCTCGAATCAAGGGAAATACTAGTCTCCTATTCAGCCGTTCTTAGCGTCGGTCCGAAACTTCCAAGCATTCGGGCCGATACGAAGACGGCTGAAGAGACTAGGGAGATACCTAACAAGCTCTACTCACATGTGATGCTGAGTCAACAAATCAAACCCGAGACCCCAGAGGTGAGAGGGGATTTTATGTACCGTTACAGGGACCGCGGAGCCGAGGGGGGAGGGGAGGGGGGGGCGGGCTACAGACCCCCCACTTTTTGCGCCAAAAATACAAATATAAATAACAAACGTCCCCCCACTTTTCAATATGCTCCACGGTCCCTGCGTTACGCTATGAATAAACTACATTGTCATAGAATATTTTAAAATCATACCTCGTAGACCATCTCATTATGTTTGACACACCAAACACTGAATACAGTATGAGAAAGAAAGAATTCCACAGTCCAGTCATGGTGTACATGTCGTAGAAGTCCAAATTAAAGTCTTCACATATGCTGTGCATCACTGGAAAATCAAAGGTTCGAGTGAGTACGCCCGCAGAGCAATACTACAAACTGAATTTGAGAGAGGAAGAGTACAAACCTTTGACATAGAGTGCCAGGGGTGCTGTTGTAAGTAGAACAATCAGTGGCTGACCAGAGAAGAGTGAATACAATATGCCGCTAGCAGTTTGTGCAATAATGACTTGTTTAACACCTGGAAATGGTGTAAAAAAAGCAATATAAAACGTTACAAATTTTTTTATGCCATTTTTAAAAATAAGGAAAGGTTGTTTGCATTAGAGCACTATATATCACCACTATCAGAATCCCTTGCCCAATTTTTTGTTAGTTAATTGGCATCAAATTGCCTTGCAATTCTCAATCAATAAGCAAAT